CCCCTGAGCCCCCATACAGCCCCAGGATGCCCCATGTACCCCCCTACAATCCCAGGATGCCCCATACTACCCCATATACAGCCCCAAGTGCCCCCCCTCCGTGCTCCCGTATATCCCCAGGATGTCCCATATATCCCCTATACGCTCCTAGGATGCCCCATATAAACCCATACAGCCCCAGGATGCCCCCTATGCCCCCATACAGCCCCAGGAGGCTCCATACAGTTCCATACACCCCTGGGACCCCCCCTATATCCCTATACCCCCAGGATGCCCCACACAGCTTCATTTACAGCCCTGTATGTCCCCATATACATCCCCCTAAGCCTCCATACAGCCCCAGGATGCCCCATATATCCCCTATACGCTCCTAGGATGCCCCATATAAACCCATACAGCCCCAGGATGCCCCCTATGCCCTCATACAGCCCCAGGATGCTCCATACAGTTCCATACACCCCTGGGCCTCCCTATATCCTCTATATACCCCCAGGATGCCCCACACAGCTTCATATACAGCCCCATGCATCCCCATATACATCCCCCTGAGCCTCCATACAGCCCCAGGATGCCCCATGTACCCCCCTACAATCCCAGGATGCCCCATACTACCCCATATACAGCCCCAAGTGCCCCCCCCCCATATACCCCCAGGATGCACCATATATCCCCTATATGCCCCTAGGATGCCCCATATAAACCCATACAGCCCCAGGATGCACCATGTACCCTCTATACAGCCCCAAGTGCCCCCCCATGCTCCCATATACCCCCACGATGTCCCATATATCCTCTATACGCTCCTAGGATGCCCCATATAAACCCATACAGCCCCAGGATGCTCCATACAGTTCCATACACTCCCAGGAACCCCCTCCTATATCCCCTATATACCCCCAAGATGCCCCATGTACCCCCCTACAACCACAGGATGCCCCATACTGCCCCATATACAGCCCCAGGTACACCCCCCTTGTGCCCTCATACAGCTCCAGGATGCCCCATGTACCCTCATATAGCTCCAGGATGCCCCATACA